TTTGAGAAAGTAAAAATGCACAAAGTTTCCTGTGAGGGGTAGGTTTAGGGGTAGGGTTGGTGTAGGGCAATAGCACATACAGTTTGTACAGTATAAAAACCATTACACCTATGGAGAGTCCCCATAAAACATGGAAACACAACAAACTAATGAAATAAAATAGTTTAAAATAAAGTAATAATAAAAATAGACTTAAATACATGTAAATAATACATCAAAATTTAAATAGGCAAAAATTTACAGTACTATAGTATGCAGAAAAAACAATAATGTAATAGAAATATTTTCTACATAATACATTTTTTACATATGAATAATATTAATTAATAACAGTAAGGTCATTCCATGTCAAATCAACCAAGCATCCCTGGCTCAAATTTTTTATTTATTTTTTTCTGAAGAAAGATAAACATGTATAGTGATGAAAGCCGAAATATTAAATGTCATGGAGGAATATTTACTGAGTAATCCACTATTTTGTAGACGGGTTAAAAACGACAATTTTCACCTGAGATTTAGAGCCAAATTACAGGAGGGTAAAAATAACTTTAGAAAGATGGCAGCATCATAATGTTATTTTCACACAGAGAATAGTAGCTCTGTTAGTAATCTCTGTTGACTTTAGCTGTCTTTGTTGCATTATGTGCCAATGGTGACCGTTCAAAAATGGGGAAACTACGGTGGAAGAGAAGTGCAAAACAAATCACAATTCTGAAAACAAAATAACAAATTACAAACGCAAATGCAAGTCGCAATTCATACAATACATTTAAACTGAGCTACTTTAATACCATCTCCGAACTTTCTACCACGACTCTGCTGTTCTTCGGCTGGTTCTTCCCTGTATACGTTGATTGACAGATGTCTCGTCCAGTCAGCGGTGAGTAATCCCAAACCAATGGCGCTGTCTCAAACTATACCTACCTCTTCCGGTTTGTCTGATTTGTCATTGTGTTTTCTGACTTGTTATAATGTTTTCTGAATTGTTGTTGTGCTTTCTGAATTGTTACTTTGTTTTTTAGACTTGCATTTGCGTTTGTAATTTGTTATTTTGTTTTCAGAATTGTGATTTGTTTTGCACTTCTTGGTCACCGTAGGAAACAGCACTTTTCAAGTTTTCCTCAGAAGTTTGCATGCCTGTAACTCAAGAAGTATTAAAGATATCTTAATGCCCTTTTTTATATTGGGTCTTAACAAACTTTCCTTGTGGCATCTTAATTTTCAAGGCCCTACATTGTTCCGTTCCAGAGATATTGGAATTTCAATATGGCTCCAGGAGTAAATAGTTAAATTGTGACTGTAGACCTGTGTTATAGTCGACCTGTTTTATGGACTCTAAAACTCGATTGTGTTAAAGTGTTAACCTCAGTGTTCCGGGCGGGTTAGCTGAGCGGTTTGTTCTAACCGTGGATGAGTGATGAGCGTTCACATAAATACAGTGAGTTTTACATGAAATGATGAATCACCTGATATTCCTCAGACTGTGTGAAGCGGTGGATTCTGCTGTTATCTGTGAAATATATGCTGCCCACCAGCACTCAGATATTACCTCCAGAGCGTGATGAAGTCCAGCTGCAGCATCTCTCAGGCTTCACATCTCGTTTCCATCAGGAGCAGTGTAGGAGTTCACTTCTATTATAAAAGATGATGCATTTCTCACGTACGGATGTGTGAGAGAGAGATATGTCTTCATCAGGAAGCTGAAATATTTGCTGTTTTTTACAGTTAGCGTAATGGGATAAACGTGTTTGAATCAGCGCGAGCCACCTGATGCTGTGAATAGTAAAGTGTGTAAGAATTACTTTACACGAGTGTTTTACAGCCTGACGATCAAGATTTGATCAAAAATCAAGATTTAATAAATCAAGACACATTTACTGGAGATGCAAAATGAAGATATGAAGTCTAGTTTCCTGAGAAATTGTTAAAAATGAAGCGAGTTTATGATTAAAACAAGAACAAATGTCTGTCAATGGGGGATGAAAGCTTTGTTTCCCTTTGAATTATGTTGATTTTTCTGATTCCATTGACAGATATTTGTTCTCGTTTTAATCATTTTAATCAATTTCTCACAAAACAAGACTTATCTTTATTTTGCATCTCAAGTAAATGTATCTTGGTTTAAGAACTCACGCTCATCTGCATACGCTTCTGAGTGCCACGCCCACATCTCCACATCCAATCAACAAGTGATGCACAGAACCAAGCCCCGCCTACATCTCTTTCTTTCTGTCCGTTACGCTCGGATGTACGTTAGAATACAGAAGAAAAGGTCTGTCTGCTTCACTTTAAGCACTATCGAACAGAACATCGCAGAGATCTATTTATAGCCTCATGGGCTGCTGAATATATGGAGTTAATCTGAATTGTTTTTGTTGAAGGGTAGAGTTTGTGTTGATGCTGGTGTTTCAGAGGAGTTCAGCTCTTCTCAAAGGGGTTTAACATGTTGACAACAATTACAGCAAAGCAAAGAAGTCTCTTATTTCAGCTCATTCCTTTCGAGTTATCTTTAAATGTTTAAAATGTTTTGCCTTTTATAGATTGCATCTTCATTTTTTTAAAAACTACACTACCAGTCAAAAGCTTTTGAGCAGTAAGATACAGTCAGAGACTAGATAAACAAACTAGTGAATGTTACTAATTAACTAGTCTGCACTGGTAGGAATGTGTCTTGTGATCTTATAAGAAGAAGACTCAGAAGAAGACTATATTCGCTCTCCTCCCCCACTTCTGTCCTGATTCGTGTGTATGCTGTGTCCCATATTTCATGTAGTGCACTACAATAACTGATCTGACTGCACCCCCACACGCTTCTCAATCCCTACAACAACACGCTTAAAACACGGATCAGAGCGAGCGGATGAAGGCTCTGTGATTCAACGATCCTGATGATCTCTGACCCGCTCTGATTCAGCTGTACGCTGCTTTATTGGCACGACAGATATATTCACATTCATTACCAAATATTGCTAAAGCAGTTTTGCAGTAATGCACTCAGAATGGAAGGAAGCAGGGGAACATGTACGGTACGAAATTTAGGGTGGAGTATTGTTTGAATTTGATAAATTCCGGTTCTGATTCTGCTTATCGATTCAGATTCTTTTAGATTCCATTGTGATTAAAAACATGAAGTCAAACATTTAGATATCAAACGTATTTATTCTGTGTCTCTTTTTGCAAAACATTTAGTTGCTGCTGAACACCATGAACAAAAATCTGCCGGCTGCATAAAAACTGGACTCGTGCAACATGTTTAGCTTATCATCACAAATATTATACTTTAAAAGGGTCATATGATGCTGCTAAGAAGAACATTATGTTGTGTATTTGGTGTAATGAAATGTGTTTATGCGGTTTAAGGTTCAAAAAACACATTCTTTTCCACATACTGTACATTATTGTTTCTCCTCTATGAGCTTTTTTGTTTTTTTTTTACAAAGCTCATCGGTCTGAAAAGCGAGGTGTGCTGTGATTGGCCAGCTATCCAGTGCGTTGTGATTGGCCGAATACCTCAAGCGTGTGACGGAAATGTTACGCCCCTTACCATACTATGTTGATGCCGTGTCCGGCCGGAGCGACGAGACAAAAACATTAAAACCCATTATAAACGAGGCATATGTTGCATCCAGTGGGGACATAATTACGGATTATAATGACTTATACTGTCTTTTTAGTAAACATAAAACCATGTCTGCATTTGTGATC